TCAAAGTATTAAAATTGGACCTCACTCGGTAGATTTAATCAAGGTATACAAGATGACTTCACTGGTTTTAAAAACGTTAGGCATTGGGTGGGTAGGATTTAGGTTAATTCTTCTTAAAAAGGTTAGGAACTCCTACAAATTTCACCGAGTGTTCCTTTAGAGGCAACTTTAATTTATTTTTTTTAAAAACCCGGTGAAGTCAGCTTGTATACCTTGATTAATTCTATCGAGTGAGGTCCAGTTTTAATACTTTAAAACTTTTAATGTATACTTTGCATTGTATGACATGTAGAAAGATTTATTTATCTTTAATGATATACGATGTAGTCGCTAACCTTCATTGAATTTGTTTTGGCCTAATTTTACCATTTCTAAATTACAGACTAGCTGCCTTTGGTCGATCTTTGACTTTTGATTGTTTAAAATTTCTGTCCCTTTTGTTAGAGACCTTTGCTTTACATTTTGTCATCAAGCAATTGCTTTACATGTTGAAAATGCAATTGAATCAGCTCTTGATGCAATAGAATAGGAGTTCTTGGTGTAAGCGTAACCGTAGTTGACTAAATATCCACCGTGGTTGAATCACAAGGAAGAAAGATGGTAGCGTAGGGTAGAGTAGATTCGACGCTATGCCACAAGGTTATCCGAGTTCACAGGTGTCGTTGCTTATCCCTTTCTTCAACATGGTTGATTCAAGTATCAATAGTAACTAAATAAATTGGGTACATGTTTAGTTTTATGATGCATTAATTACAGCCTAAAATATCTTAATAACATAAACCTTTCCTTGAAATGGTGTTCTTATATTTTAATTTGGAATGAAATTATTACATTATGATTTTGGTTTTCGTGTCGTTTAGAAGCTACAGTTGATTCTTTATCATTACCGATTCATTCTAAAGTTTCCAAAGATAATTGTTAAAGTGTATATTGATATTAATCTAAATTAGGCAGTTGGTCTAAAGATCTAATATGCTATGTGATTCTTTATTCTAGTCTTTTCAATAAGAACTTTAATTCATCGGTTTAAAGATAATGTTGAATTTGTAGCTCTTAACTTGCTAATTATTTATGTAATATTTTATTATAATAGTGTCACAAAGAACAGGCTAAAAGCCAAAGTCTCATTCCCATGTTCTCTGCCTTCTCTCTAGCCAATAGAGAGAAAAATTTCCGATGTGAACAACAACAAGAACCCAAATCAATTACCACCAAATGACTGACGAGACAACAATGATGGACATGACACAATCATCATCGCTGACAACTGAAGAAGCAGATCTGCTCCAACGCATTACACAAAAGTCAAGAACGAAAAAAAGCAAACTAGACCCCAAGGTAAGATTCAAAGATAGAGTAATTGAAAATCAAATCTTTGAGTCTATGGAGTTTGACTGTGACATGTTTACCAATGTGTCACTAGAAGATGAAAATGATATCCCCACAAATCATCCGAATTTTATGCCCATCTCCTCAGCTAAAAAACAAAGACTTTACGAACCTTGGACTCAAGTACTAATTATCTATCTAATAGGTAAACGAATGGGTTATACCCTTCTAGGCACAGAAACACAAAAACTTTGGAATACAACAGAGCCCCTATATCTCATAGACCTTGGCAATGATTTTTACCTTATAATATTTTCGTCGAAAAGTCTGTACATCATAGTCCTGGATAATGGACCATGGTTCATTGGATCCCAGTTTCTCTCAATTAGGAAATGGACACCGAAATTTAATCCCAACAATGTCCAAATTACCTTTTCCACCATATAGGTGCGCCTACAAGAATTACTTATAGAATACTATGATCTGAATATACTTCAAAAAATTGAAAACACAATCGGTAAGATTCTCAAAATTGACAGTTGTACGGCACACATAACACAGGGAAGGTATGCTAGACTCTGTATTTTAGCATCATTGAGCAAACCTTTACCTATAAATGTTATGATTGGCAAGCATCTATAGGAAATACACTATGAGGACACAAACCCACTTTGCACAACCTGTGGATGCTTAGGTCACAATCACTATCAATGTTTACAAAGTAAGTCTACCTACCAGACGGAGCAAAAAGCATCAGAAGAGCAATCAACCCAAGGTCAGTGAAAAACAATCACATACACAAACAAGAGGTACGCTATTAACAAAGCCTCAAAGTTAAATGTAGATGGAAAACAAATACACAGGGGGGAAATACCTGCTGAAAATTTCGAAGAATGTGGGAAAGAAAAAGAAAAAAGGAAAATTAGAATAAAGGAAGGAAAAAAATAAAAAGATAAAAAAAAAAGACAATTATTATATCCGGAAGTGATGTTACTGCTCATACCAACATTACGTTGGGAACAAGAAATGTGATTGACTTTAGCCCCAAGAAAGAGGTAACTGGAAATAACCCTTCAACTACCAAAGGAGCATTTACAGGTACATAACAAAACAGATTTGCAATCTTGAATGATAACGGATGGGAACTTCAAACAAAAATTCAAATATAATTCAACCCAATCCAAAACATAATCAAAATTATCAGCTTTGCACATACAATTCCAGTTCACATCAAATAACTCCACAATACCCACAGAGCAAAAGCTTCCTAAGACCAGAACCATACATAAAACAAAAACTTGAATACAAAGCAGCTACAAAAACTACCTTTTTACGGGCCTCACACAATATCAACCCAAAAGAACAGGGCCCAAAACCTCATTCGTCCAATCTGTTCCTTCTTTTGGCCAATACACAGAAAATCACTCACATCACATTTAATGCACTGACAACTACTACCCGTCTGTCTACCCCTACACCTGCCAATACCACTCATTCCTCCTCTATCACCCCTAATCCAACCCCTATGGCACAAAAATCAGACCTCACATCACCCTCCCTCCATTATAACCCCTCTAAACAACTGCCCATCTGAAATGTCTCCTACACCCAACCAACTATCCCACTCCCCACAAATCACCACCATAGCTAGATATGTCGAGACACTACCAAAATTACCACCGGAACCACTACTGTAGCTGCTACCAGAACCACCATTATGAACGCCACCGCAGGAAATAAGACTACCAACCACAGACACAAATAACAAACTACTATTTCCAAATGACGATTATCCCAGTCCCAATAGTCATCAACAATCAAATCTACTACAACCAGATGAGCAGCTACAAGTGCGGGCTAATAAATTAGCAGTGGGCTACGCGAACCATATTCCACAGGATCCCACCAACCACCACACACATGCAAACCAGGAACCGGCGACTCCCACCCAACAACAGGCGACCCTGATCTTGGAGACAACATAAGAAATAATCCAGACGAGCAAGGCCTCTACACCAACGAACATGCAACAACGACACTATAGTCACTCTACACCCAAGAGATAGCTACCATGGACCTTATTCAATAGCTAGGCAACCACAACACACGCCAACAATAAGAGTTCCCAATTTCTCCACATAATCAGGAGGAGATTTCATCCCCACAGGCCAACTGGTTGCTTTTCACGACCCTAAACTTGACCCGGTTGTGATGGTGCCTATCGTGAAACTAGGCCAGCCGACATAAACTCAAAACCAACCAGAAGATCATAAGAAGTCATTTAAAACCATTAATTAACTAAAATCCCATAAATGTAAGTTTAAACAAGTAGTGCGAAAATATAACACAAGTCCGACATCGGGGTGTCACCAGTCATGAGCAACTACAACTCGTTTAGGAACAAGAAAGGACAACATAGTCCGAAAATAAAATACTAACACAATCTGAAAAAGATATGAATGGGAAACATTGGGCTGCGAACGCCAAACAACTACCTAGTCAACTCCAAAGGCCTGCTGGAAGGTTGATCAACACTCACTATCACGTCCCGAGACTCTTGGATCTGCACACATGGTGCATGGAGTCAACTCAGTAAGTAACAAAAGTAAATAAAGACTGCACAGTAAGAAAACACATAATCCACATCATAGCACCATAGTGAGTACAATATGTTTCCAAAATAGTACAAAAATTAGTTATGTCGTAAAAACAAACTTCAGTTTCAGTAAAACTTTTTTTTAAAACAAACTTCTTTCAATAGTTTCAAACGAGTGATAAAACAGTGAGTAAAATGACAGAAACGTAAACAGCCTCTCGTGCAAAAATATGTACAATAAATCGCCTCTCGGACATAATATCAACAGAACCAGCCCCTCGGGCTATCTCACAATCACTCATAATCAGCCCATCGGGCATAACATGAATCAAGAACAGCCCCTCAGGCTACATCACATCACTCACACTGGGTACCCGCGCTCACTGGGGGTGTTCAGACTCCGGAGGGGCTCCTACAACCCAAGCGCTATAACAAGCCATCTCGTGGCATAATCAATCAGGCCCTCGACCTCACATAACAACAAGCCACCTCGTGGCATAAATCAATCAGGCCCTCGGCCTCACAACATCATGAATCAGTAACAACCTGTTGCGGCATGTAGTTCGATCCCATAATGTCCTCACAACACAGGCCCTCGGCCTCACTCAGTCAGAAACCTCTCAAGCCACTCGGGCAACAGTAAAACAAGAAACTCAGCCCAAAATCTATCTATAATTAAAAAGAGAGGAAGAAGCAACCTCATTAAGCCAAGTGGCATCATCATAATAAGCCACTTGGCACTTTAGGACAATACCCCAAAAAAATAGGAGCTACAATTTAACTTTGTTTTGGAGAAATTTCAGAACTTTTTATTTTTTTAAAAATTAAACCTTTTAATCAACAATATTATTTAAAAATTTTTTACCTTCCACTTGCCCTAAATTATCTCTGCAAAATCATGATAGTCAGAGTCTACTCAACTATCTAAACCACGATTGACACTCACGATTGAAATCATACTCGGTAACAACCGCTCACAACTGCAGCTTTATATTTCTTCCATTGATACACGCACTTCAATTCTAATCTTCCTACTGCTATCAAGATTTTAAGAAAAAATACGGTTTATGCAAAAATGGCTATTCACATTGATTTCATCAAAGATGTAATAATTTCAAAGATGCAATGGAAGTTGAAAGTTCGAGTTGTCCGTCTGTGGGAAGTACCAGATCGTTTTAGTCTAGACACTACATTCTCGATTGAATTGGCTCTACAAGATGAAAAGGTATTAAAAATAAGTTATTTCCTTACTCATTCGTTTTGCTCTCTATTTCTTAAGTTGCAAATTTAAATTTGGTGCTTTATGTGTTTGAGTTAGTAATTAGTGATTCTAAAATTTGTTTTGCTTATTTGTTATAGCTTAATATTATTTATGCTGGAATTCCTAGATGATACAAACTTAACATAATCAATCAAGGGTTATATAGAATCTATACTACCAACAGAGACAATTCTTACAATATGTCCACAATATTTATACTTAACTGCTCGATATTCCTCTTAATGTTCAAAAATATATATGTTTATCAAATGAAAACCACTAGACGAGTTTATCCATATTGTGCTGATTTGTTATACCTTTTCTGTTTTTTAATATTATGAAGTTGGAAATCGAGTTTCTCCATGTTGTGCCTCACATGTTATAGCATTTTTATTTTTTAATGTGATGAAGTTGGAAATCTGAAGTTTTTGCTTTGTTTCTTTGATTATTTAATTCTCTACTATTGAAAAGTAATTTTACTACAATTTAGTATTAGTATAATTTCAAGTATTCAAGTATAGTAATATAAATTTGAAAAGTTAATTTGGAATTATTGTATTACTAAGTCCTTCAAACGCTTTCTCTTATTTAATAAATTTGAAAAGTTAATCTGGAATTATTGTATTACTAAGTCCTTCAAACACTTTCTGTTATTTAATGTAATTTCTTTGTAGGGCGATCGGATACATGCTTCTATTGGCAAGTCAATTTTGCATCTTTTCAAAACACAAATTATCGAGCTTGAATTATATCATATGACGAACTTTATCATTTGTCATAATAAGGAGAAGTTCAACACCACAAAACATAGGTTGAGACTGACGTTTACTCAACAGATAATAGTGGTTGAAACAACTGATCCACTTTTCCCAATGAATATCTTTGATTTGCGACCATATGATCAATTGAAAAATAAGGTTGATATGAACGAGGCTGAATTATTTGGTAAAAATAACTTTTACCTTAAATTTCTAAATATGGACTTTTCTACTATTTATTTTAACAATTCTTTTTCTTTAGATGTCATCGGAGAAATCGTCGGTTTCAATGAGGTACACACGCAAAATCAAGGTGGAATTTCTTGGAGTTTATGGATATTGAACTAGACGATGATGAGTAAGAATAAACATTCATCTACTAATTAAGGATGGATTTGATAATTACATATGCTAAAATTATATTTTTATTTCTATTTGACAGGAGGAAAAAGTTGTCTACTATATTCTGGGGTGGGTTTGTTGATGAAATTGTACCTCACCTGCTAAGTTCCAACAACCAGCCTATTATTGTTGTTATGCAGCTCATAAAAGCCCATAAATTTCAAGGTAAAATACAATTGCTCAATTTGACATTACTGTGCGAAAGTTATTCATTATATCTTACACATACGTTGTTTTGTAGATTCATATTCTATGCGCAATACTNTCAACAAAGTTACTCTGTCTCGGATGAGTTGGAGAAGGGCATTGTTCAAGTTAAAACAATTGGCCAATTAGTGGAGTTGTGACGACCCGGCTGGTCGTCTTAAGAATTTATGCCCCGATCCTCCATTAACTGCTTTCGCAAGTTTATTTCTGCTATTTAGATTTGCCGGGATATTCGGTTTTGAGTTTCGGAGAGTTTTGGGACACTTAGTCCCTAAATGAGAGCTTAAGTGTTGGAATGTTGATCGTAGTCAGAACAGTGTGAAGACAACCCAGGAATGGAAATCTGATGGTTCCGTTAGCTCCGTTGGGTGATTTTGGGCTTAGGGGCGTGTTCAGATTGTATTTTGGAGGTCCGTAGCTAATTTAGACTTGAAATGCCGAAAGTTGAATTTTTGAAGTTTCCCGTTCGATAGTGAGATTTTGATCCGAGGGTCAGAATGGAATTCCGGAAGTTGGAGTAGCTTGTAGTGTTTAATGTAACGTGTGTGCAAAATTTTAGGTCATTCGGACGAGTTTTGATAGACTTTTTGATCGAAAGCGTATTTTAGAGTTTTTGAAATTCTTAGGCTTGAATCCGATGAAAAATAGGAGTTTTGATGTTGTTTTGAGTGTTCCGAAGGTTGGAGCAGTTTGAATGAAGTTATGGGATATGTTGATAGGTTTGGTTGAGGTCCCGGGGGCCTCAGGTGAGTTTCAGATGCTCAACGGACCATTTTTGGACTTGGAAAAGCATCAGATTTTTGCTGGTATATGTTGCAGACTTTCCTTCATCGTGATCGCGTGGGGAGGAGCGCGATCACGAAGGCTTAGGCGAGGCAGAGGGAATTTTGTTCTTTGCGTTCCTATTTCATTTTACTTGTAATTTAAACTTGTTGTTAGCTTAGAAAAAACATGTCTAATTGACTTAACTGTTTAGTTGCTTAACTGTTTTAATTGAATTATGTGAAGTATGTTAGGTTCGAATTACCTGTTTACTTAGTACGAAATTGAGCTTAATTGAGTATTCTTGTGTTGTTGCTGTGTGTTTCACTTTGGGACTACAAGACGGCATCCCGGGAGATCCCTTGTACGTATTTATGATTTGAACTGAGGTGCAGGATACTGAGAGATCCCTGGCACGTATATTAAGGATACCAAGAGATCCCTAGCACATATTAAGGATACCGAGAGATCATCGGGATACCAAGAGATCCCTAGCACATATTGAGGATACTGATGGATCCTCGGGATACCCAGAGATCCCTAGCATATATTGATGTCACGACCCGAATTTCCCACCTCGGGAGTCGTGATGGCGCCTACGAATGTAAGCTAGGCAAGCCAATTATTGAACCACCTACCTTTTTACCAATTTATTCTCTTTAACAATTAAGAAGAAATAACATTTAAACAACGGATTATAACATAAGCGAAAGAATATAATAAGCCATCTGAACATGAATATCTATTACAACTGTTTGAGTCTCGACTACCCAGAACTGGTGTCGTAGTTTCATAGACGGTCTAAGAATACTACAAATAAAGGTCTGAAAGAATTAATTACAACTATGTTTTTGGAAATACATGTAAGAAACAGAAAAATGGATAGAAGGAGACGCCAAGGCCTGCTGATGCCTACAGGACTACCTCGGGTCGCCTGATGATCAAGAATCAACAATCTCACTGCGGTCCGAAGTCCACAACACTGGGGTCTGCACAAAAGAGTGCAGAGTGTAGTATCAGCACAACCAAACCCATGTGTTGGTAAGTGCCTAGCCTAACCTTGGCGAAGTAGTGACGAGGCTAGGACCAGACTACCAAATAAACTTGTGTAGTTCAATTATATATAGCGGAAAAAAAATACAGAAATAAACAAGTAAAGTTGGGAGGGGGAAACATGCTTCGGGGAATAGCAGGTAAAACGGAATATCAAGAGAATTATTAAGGAATCAAAACCACGCACTAACAAGAAAAAGGGAACAAAGACAGATTTCACTTCCTTTTCATATCTCCTGGCATGCATGCCACCCGCTCCCATTTCACCTGTCTTGTGGTAGGTGTACCACCCACTCCCATTTTATTATATCTTGTGGTAGGCGTACCACCCGTTCCCATTTTATTATATCTTTGTTGCGGCGTGCAACCCGATCCACATATAATATTGTTACGACGTGCAACCCGATCCATATATAATGTTGTTACGACGTGCAACCCGATCCATTTATAATGTTGTTGCGACGTGCAACCCGATCCATACATAACGTTGTTGCGGCATGCAACCCGATCCATATATAATATTGTTGCGGTGTGCAACCCGATCCATATATAATATTATTGCGGTGTGCAACCCGATCCATATATAACATTTACAATTATAACGAGAGTCCCGACAAGAGATCATAAGGTCTACACTGTCCCGGCAAGGGATTCGACAGCATAAGAAACCACGTCCCGGCCAGGGAGAAATAGCTATAACCAAACTTGATACCACACCTAACTACCTCAGCTATAACCAAACTCGTTACAACATCTAACCACCTCAGCTATAACCAAACTCGTTACAACATCTAACCACCTCAGCTATAACCAAACTCGTCACCACACCTAACTACCTCAACTATAACCAGCCTCATTCCGACACCTAACTACCTCAGCTGTACCCATAATCCCTACCCAACACAAAGAATCATCAACCTAAGCATATGTAATATCACTTAAGAACACAATGCAAGAGAACCACAATTCAACAATAGCCCGGCAAGGGGGCAACATAATGATCTCTTCTCTTTCTCACTCTTACTTCACAATTCACGTCACAACTCGAGCCAATGCTCTATAGTTTCAATTATCACTTAAACTTTCACAACTCATTTCACAACTCGAGCCAATGCTCTAAAAGTTCAATTGTCACTTATACTTTCACAATTTTGCTATACAACTTGAGCCAACGCTCCTCAATGTTCATAGGTCACAATTCTTTCCACAAACTTTATACAACAATTAAAAATCTTCACCAAGACATGAATAATGCAACGAAATCATGAAAAATCACAATATAAGGCTCACGGTCATGCTTGATACAACGTATAGATACTCGTCACCATGGCTATACGTCGTACTCAACAAGAAGTAAATAGCAAATAGGACACAACTGCTAATCCCTCAAGCTAAGGTTAGACCAAACACTTACCTCGAAGCCACGAACACAATTCACGATTCAATTGTAGCTTTACCCCTTGATTCCACCGCCAATTCACTCGTATCTAGCCACAAGTTACTTAATTGCATCAATAAACGCTAAATGAATCAATTTGAATGCATGAAAATGGGTTTTCCAAAGTTTTACCTAAAAAGTTAAAATCGCCCCTGGGCCCACGTGGTCAAAACCCGAGGTTCGAACCAAAACCCGATTACCCATTCCCCCACGAACTCAAATATATAATTTATTTTGAAATCGGACCTCAAATTGAGGTCCAAATCCCCAATTTTTGAAAAACCTAGGTTCTACTCAAAACACCCAATTTCCCCTATGAAAATCATTGATTTGAAGTTGAAATCATGTTAAAAGATGTTAATGATTGAAGAAAACTAGTTAAAAATGACTTACAATTGATTTGGAGAAGAAATATTGTTTAAAAAATCGCCTCTTATATTTTTGGGGTTTTGAAAAATAAAAAATAACTGAAAATTCCGTCTAAATATACTGCCCTCAGATGCCATGTGCGGACCGCACAAAATCGACCGCGGCCGCACAGGCCTCCCTGTGTTTTGCAGTGACAGGCCTTATTATTTTGGCCATAACTTTCTCTAAAATGTCAAAATTGTGATTTCTTTACCTTTCTGGAAACTAGACACGAAGGGCTACAACTTTCGTTTTTGAATCATCTTAAAATTTCTTATGGATCAAAAGATATAGGGTTCCGAAGTCGGACCATTGAAGTGTTCTTCACCGCGGACCGCACCAAAACTAGTGCGGCCGCACAGGCCTCTCCGCGGCAGCGGTCCATATCGTGCGGACCGCACTGGCCTGTTCAAAGGTCCTCCACCTCTCTGAGCCTGCAACAGCTCAGTTTTTAAGCCTAAGACACCCCGGAACCTACCCGAAACTCACCCGAGCCCTCGGAACTCTAAACTAAGCGCACACAAAACCTCAAAAACATCCTACGGACTTATTCATATAATCAAATCATCAAAATAACATCATGAACATCAAATTAAATCTCGATATCAATAAAATTTTCTCAAAACTTCTTTAAACATCAATTTTGCGATTTAAGTCCGAATCAGTCATATGACATCTGTTTTTTACCAAATTCCACAGAAATGTCTTAAATCATATATAAGACATGTACCGGGCGCCAGAACCAAAATACGGCCCGATACCACCATGTTCTAAGCAAATTTCATTTCAAATTTGTTTAAATAATTTCAGGAAACAATTTTCTTTAAAAAAAAATTATTTCTCGGGCTTGGGACCTCGGACTCCGATTCCGGGCATACGCCCAAGTCCCATATTTTCCTTCAGACCCTCCAGGACCGTTGAATCACGGGTCCGGGTCCGTTTACCCAAAACATTGACCGAAGTCAAATTTCTTCATTTTACAGTCAAAACTTATCATTTTTCACAGATTTTCACATTTAAGCTTTTCGGCTACGCGCCCGGACTGTGCACGCAAATTGAGGTGGTTCTAAGGAAGGCTTTTAAGGCCTCGGAACGTAGAATTTCATTGCAACACAAGTGATGACACATTCTCCACCTCTAAAACAACCGTTCGTCCTCGAACGCAGAAGAAGGAAGTACCTGAGTCGGGGATAATTGCTCCGCATATCGGACTCGGACTCCCAGGTCGATGCCTCAGGAGGCTGACCTCTCCACTGAA